TGTTCGTTGGACTGTAAGTTCATCCCATGGCTATACCTTTATCCTGATTTTCCTCCATTCGTTTAAGAGCTGTCACTCACATTGACACTTTCTTTCGACCAGGCCTACTACTGGTGGTGTTGCTCCTGCTGCCCCCGCACCTTCTGCTTCTGAGCTTGCAAATGCGTGAGATTGATGCTCGATCCATCGATCATCCGGAGTTTTGTTGTTTTTACGAGTTGGGGAGAAACCTCTCCATAGAATTGAATAAACATAACCTTAGAATGATGATATGCTTATAGTCCTCGAAGCCAGAAGAATTTCTTCATAGAATGGATGATGGACGCTTTTCCATTCATTATCGGTTTCCCTTTTTTCCCTCGGAATTCATTGAATTTGTTGGGGATGGTTTTGATCTCATCCTTAGCTTGGAATACTTGTTTGTAGTAGTTCATAATTCAGATAGAGATTTGCAGTTTGAAGGTTTAAGAACCATGAGCATATGATATGAGGATGTATTATGTACCCATGTCAGGAACAAACTTTCTGCCAAATAAACTGACAGATGAAGGGTAAACAAAGATTTGGTCCAGTTTTCATTTCATTAGTTATTGCTATTTTGGTTAGCTAAAGTGTGAAGCCCCTATTATAGATATATATATATATATATATACACACACACACATATATATATTTACATAATATGGTTGAAAATCATGAAGCCATACAAGACAAGCCACAGTTTGACATTCAAGCTCATTATAATGCTTTCCACATTTGATTTAGATGTGGAGTGGGTGTCTTAAATGTTTAGTTCATTGACAACTTCAATGATTGCATCAATCAATGGTTGTCTCTTGGTTCACCAAAGGATCAAAGGACTTATAAAGCCATTTTGAAGTATCTTGAGAATATATATATATATATATATATATATATATATATATATATATATATATATTATATAAAAGAATATTCATTTTTTTAAACATTCTAAATTTCAAATTTGCCTATTAATTATAAATATGTTGAGAGACTTCTCAATTAAACACTTCAAAGTCATTTTTTGAATAATACATCTTATTTTAAATAATAATAAAACCACTCAAACAATTAAGAATTAGAAGACAAATTGATATAATTATTTTAGATACAAATAGTTCTTTAAAATCAATTAAAAATTAGACTAATCTTTTCTCTAATTAAAATATCATTTTGATCCCTTATATAAGGTCTTCTTCCTATTTTCAACAAAACTAGATTTAAACTAACATTACAAGAACAAGGGAATGAGTCCCATTTTTGTCTTCCTATTTTCAACAAAATTAGATTTAAACTAACATTACAAGAACAAGGGAAAGAATGTCTCGTCCCATTTTCGTCTTCCTATTTTCAAGGAGATTTAAACTAACATTACAAGACCAAGGGAACGAATGTCTCGTCCCATTTTTGTCTTCCTATTTCAACAAAAATAGATTTAAACATTACAAGAACAAACAAGGGATCGAAGACAAATATGATATCTTAATCTAAATTAAACAAGAAGAAGGGAAAAAGGGGGAAAACAAAAGCAATGGATTCAGAACAAAACTATGCCCCATTAGTTTTTCGAGGGGGGGGAATTCACGTACCACAGATAACCCACAAATCATTGCAATTCCTGAGAAACGATAGATAGAAGAGAAGCATCTGAACTTGGGTCATTTCCCCCCACCCCCTTCGTTTTGGGTAGTAAATATGAGTGCACTATTCTTCACATTCTACAAAGTGCATTAGACCAACCTGAAACTTCTACAAACTATTAATTAATGAAAGCTGCAACAACCCAACACAACTCTAGAAAGAAATCCTCTATGAGGGCTTGGCCGACTTTTTCACAAACAACTTGCTTATATCTTCAGTGACAATGTTACTCCTGCCAAACGCAAAACAAGTTCAGGACTCCAATCACAATTCATCACAAATTCTAAAAAAAATAGAAAATATAATGTAACAGCCTAAGTCTAAGCCCACCGCTAGTAGATATTATCCACTTTGGTCCATTACGTATTGCCGTTGGCCTTACAGTTTTAAAATACGTCTACTAGGGAGAGGTTTCCACACCCTTGGTATTGTTCCCCTCTCCAACCGATGTGGGATTTCACAATCCACTCCTCTTGAGGGCCCAGCGTCCTCGCTGGCACATTGCCCAGTATCTGGCTCTGATACCATTTGTAACCGTCCAAGTCCACTGCTAGCAAATTTTGTACGCTTTGGCTTGTTACGTATCACCGTCAACCTCAAAGTTTTAAAATGCGCCTACTAGGGAGAGGCTTTCACACCCTTGGTGTCGTTCCCCTCTCCAATCTCACATGCATGGTTATATTCGCAAGAGTAATGACATGCTAAGTTCTTGAGGCGATAGAATCACACTTGCTGGAGGCCTTCAGCACATCCAGCATATTGAAGAACAGTGACACAAAAACTAGCAATAAGAACAACAAAGAAAAGAGCATCGTACCAGTTGAAAGATTCTTCGGTCAAATTTTTTTCCTATTAAAATCAGTGAAATTGTAATATCTTAAAGAAGTTACGGTTACTTGGAGCAATAGCAAGGCATTGGTAAGGAAATGCTCCATCCCTCTGAACTAGAAACCCCAAATCAATTATACCCCACATATAGAAGATTGTATATCTTGTTCTAATAAGCAAAAGAAGGAATGAAATATATATCTGGAAACCCACTAGTTTCACTGCCAAATGGAAAACCGAATCCTAATCCAAGCAAACCACTAACTAACTAATATGAAACTCAACTCTACTGTTAACTACAGAGATTTGTAATAGAATAAACTGCATGCTTGATATCAGGCTCGATAACATCGGACGGAATCTGAGTCACATTTAACTTCAAAGTTTTTGCAAGGAAGGAAATGATGATGACCAACACCCATAGACGCACGTACTTTCATAGAACCAAGTGTATTAACAAAACTTCTCGTGGCCAAAAACGAAAAACCATGTTTATCTTATACCTAACTTCTTAGTACTACATTACCATTACGTCGTGCGTGCTAAACTTAGAATCATAGGTTTTAATTGGTAGACTGAGACAGCTCTTTCACGGGAAAGAAATAAACTTAGAATCATATCTATGCCAATGCATTCATCTGTATGTACATGATTTCGAAATGATTCGATTCTCATTGCCTAGTGCAGACTTCATAAACTATATATAAATGCATCAAATCCAATTATCAATGTCTTGCAGTATCACTTATTCAGGGAAAAATGTCAATGACCTTAAGTGAATCCAAATATTAGCATAAACAAATGGAAAAGAAGGAGAGAATATAATAGAACGAACCTTCCAGTAAGCTGAGGTGGAACCAACAAACGCCCTACAGTCTCTGGAACATTCTTTGAGTGAGGCAAATTCGATCGTGGAACTTTACTCCGGGGAAGAGAAGATCCCAGAACATTTGTTTCTCTCTTACGAGATGCATTGGCAGCCATAGCTGCTGCCACTCGAGAAGAGTGATCGCTACCACTAAGAAGACTGGAAGAAGTAGGAGAATTCAATAGTAGAGAAGCATCAGGAAGCTCAACCGAAGGCACAGAAGAATCCTCGTTAGTTTCAGATGGCTGTTTTGGCTTAAGAATGGACCTACAGTGCAAATCACAAGGAAATAAATCACACACACCAGTACCAACCAAAATAAACCAAATCTTTAGTTCCAAGGTAATGAAATCAACAACTAAAGAATTCCCTAAACCTACGTAGCAGCCATTTCGAACTTGCAAAATTCCATAGTAAACCAAAAAAAAAATAAACAGTATGACCACAATAACGATCTTTAAAAAGCCAGTCAAGAACATCTGGAAGCACAACAAACTCCATTACTCCCAGTTAATCTAACAACAACAATAACCCTAAAAGATGGAACACAAAAAATAAGAACTGGTATACAACCAACACATCATTCACTTCGAAGACAAAACCTATACGCTTTGTGAAAAAATAGGTCAGGAAAATGATTGAACTTCGATTGGAATAGAGAAAAAGCAAAAAATAAATTGAAATTGGAGCCCTCCCGCTTGGGAACTAGAAAAATCTGAAGAAATGGAAGAAAAGTTACTGGTTGACGGGGTGAGATTGAGACCTCGGCTCTTGGTTGGGGAATTGAGGCTCCTTGGTTGTGTGGTCTTCCGGTTTCTTCCGATTCTGCTCCTCCTCCTCCTCCTCCTCCGCCGCCGCCGTCTCGTCGTCGTCCGACGAAGCGTAGTCTACCAATGACATTTTTGTTCTTCTCTTGCCTTCTTTCGACTCTTCTCCCTCTCTCCTCGTCCTGTATTTACGAAACTATGACCCGCTTCTTCATAGACCAATCCCAATATCAAACGACGTCGTAGTGTAACTCATTCCTCGTATATTTTAATTTTTTTAATATTATTAATTCACTCACTTTTTTAAGTATTATATAATCTAAACTATATAAATAAATATTTCAATTTTTTAAAATAAAATATTAATTTTTCACCTTTATAAAATATTTCAAAATTAATATTATAGCTGAAAAATATCTGACAAAAAGTCAACGCTTCTTCAAAACCGACTAGATAGAACTTCTTTCATAGTGTCTTTCTTAATATGACTCGAACACAGGAATCCAACTTATAGGAATCTCTTGAAAGACGATTTATAACGGATGGAAGAAGTAAAAATTTAAAAAGAATTCACTTTCTCGATCTATCCAATTTAAATAATATAATTTAATGTCTAATATTATAAGACGTAAATATTTTATTTAAATCATATTTAAATATTTTAAAATAATTATATATATATATATATATATATATATGCATTCACTCGTTTCATCGTCATTCAAATTTTAAATATATATTTTTGTTTTATTATATCAAATATAATAAATATATTTTTCTTTTAAATATTTATTTAAATACTTAAAAATGAAATATATTTTTAAAATTTATTTCTTATACAAAAAATAAAATAAATAAATAAATAAAACTCTTATTCGCTAACCTGCAAAAGCTAGAGATGCAGACGGCCGTACAATCATGAACGAACGGTAAATCAAATCCGCTGCGTTGCCAATGGCGGAAGAGAAGAATCGAACTCCAATCAGGTCTATTACTCAAAACCTCTTTAAATTTCTTCTGCATTCATCCACTCGAATTTCTTCTGTTCATGTGTTTAAGGTCACTGATTTCGATATTATTCCACTAGAGGCATCTTCCTTCTTTTTATACAATTATGTGATCCTCGCGGTTCGATTCGGCGATCCTCCGATTGAATTTGAGCTTTGATTTTCTCTTTTTTCTACAGGAGTTTGATGTGCTGTTTCTTTTTGATTAATGCAGAATCATCATGTTGTTTTATGAAAAAATTTTAGGTTAGAAACGAGAAGTTGTATTTTGAACTCGACGGTTGTCTCTTGAACAATGGCAGCGTCGGCAAAAACTCTTGCTATTCCGGATCAGTCGAATAATGGCGACTGGACGGTTGTTTTACCTCGTCGTGGCAGGCAGAGGAAGAATTTGCCGAAGCTAAGAAAACAAGAAGATCAGCGGACTTGGTCTCCGTCTGATCAGGCCAATGATACAATCAGGGAATCGAAACTGTTGCATAAGATGGAAATCTGTATTAAGAAAGTTGAGAGCTCCCAATTTTATCGAACTCTTGTTGATGAGCTTGAAATGATGCCAGTCTTGGAATCCTTGAATAGGGTTTTGGCCTCGGAGTCGAAGATGGGGATGGTTTTCTATGGCGTAGGAAGCATTGAAAATTATGAAAATCCTCGATTGCAGCTCAGTCTTGCTATATTGTTGAAGAGAAAGTTTAGTTGGATTGGAAGGTTAGAAGTGTTCGATCCAATTCTCTCTGCAATCGAATGTCAGGTTATCGAATCCTTTGGTTGTTCTGTTCTATCAGTAAATGAGCAAGGACGGCGATGTGCGCAGAAGCCAACAATGTTCTTCATGCCCCATTGCGAGGCAGAGCTGTACAGCAATCTTTTACAGGAGAATTGGACGGTGGAGCTGTTGAATCATGTTGTGCTGTTTGGAAATAGCTTTGAGATCTATGAGCAGTTTGTATCTGAATTCAAGAACTCACCCGTTGTTGATTCGGCAAAGTACATCTTGGCCTCTAGAAAATTCTCACGCGAGATCAAAATCAAGACACTTTCAGATGAATATTTTGGTGCTTCAAGTTGGCATGTTTTCAGCCCTTTTTTACCGACAGAGCTGCAGTTCACAGATCTTTGAGGACATTGTCTAGTGCTTGGAAGAACAACCAGGTAAATGTAGTGTTAAAATTGTTCATGAATTTTGATCTTTACTTGATTGTCTCTCATCTCAAAGTCTTGTTAAATACTAACTATAGGAATATTTATCAAGAGAAAGAACATAAAGATGTCTCAACATTATAAAACAGCCTCATCGGCATCATGGTATAAGATTATAATGCATAGAAATAAGGTTTCTTGAGAGTAGAAATTTACATTATAGGGGTAGATCGATTTCTATCTCGCAACTATGATGAACTGAGTGTGCACTTGGTAGTGCCATGGTAGGCGACAATGACGATGCAGTTCTTCTTGATTCTAATGCATAGAAAAAAGGTTTCTTGAGAGTAGAAATTTACATTATAGGGGTAGATGAATTTCTATCTCGCAACTATAATGAACTGAGTCTTCACTTGGTAGTGCCATGGTAGGTGACAATGACGATATAGTTCTTCTTGCTAAGCATATCAGCCAATGTCAACAGTAACAATCTAAGTCCCACCGTTAGCAGATAGTGTCCGCTTTGGCCCATTACGTATTGCCGTTAGCCTCACGATTTTAAAATTTGTCTGTTAGGGAGAGGTTTCCACACCCTGAATGTTTCGTTCTCCTCTCCAACCGTGTAGGATCTCACATCAACTCCCTATATTTGATCAATTGTCTGAATCATACGTCATGGTAGACCTTGATTATTGTGCTTTTCGTGTTAATATCGAATCAACGATATAGTAAATTCATAAAGATCTTATACACCTAGGTGAAGGACTTGTTACTAGATCTCTTAGCTACGAACCTGTTTTCGTTTTGATCAGATTAAATCGAGCTTTTTAGTTGGAGAAGATCTTGTTTATAAACTCGTTAGGTTTTGCTTTACTTCTTACCATTAACAATGGCGTTGGAATGAATAGCTATTATATAATGTGTGCTGACACTATTGATGCCTAAGAATAGTTTATTAGGAACCAACCTGATGTGTAGTTATATATATATAGTGTCTAAGGTTTCCATATACAATAATTTTCAGTTTGCCCCTAATCTTATAACTTAACAAACCATATACAATCATAAATGATAACCAAATGCCTCTAGAATAGAATCTGTCTCCAAACAATGCCCTAATAAAGCAATGAAAGGGGAAAGACTACCACCACCTGTTCCCAAGGAGTTTGAAAGGTTCTAACTCTAATATTGTAATACAATTTAAGGATCTGAAAAAAGAAGAACAAATGAAGAACAGAAGATTAAATCTAAGCCATATATTCCACATCTTTTTATTTACACATTACAAATGCCAATGATATACAGCAGCTACCCAAGGAGAATGATCATTTCTCTTCAACTTTCAAGCTTTTTTCTAGTGATTGATTAAATATAAAATCATATGAATTCAATACTTCCCCATAGCAGCAGCTATTGTGTGAGTGGAATGCATTCTAGCTCAACCTCAAGAACACCTCTCTCCACATTCTGCAATCTAAGAGATATATCCTGTCTAACCTTTCCATCTACAAGGTTAATGATTCCATCTTTTACCAACGTATTGTCATTACTTGCCACCCATTTTCCCAGCTGCATTGATTCATCAATTGTCGACTTCTCGTACGCCCTTGTGGCTGCAACCAATGGTTGAATGTCGATTTCGGCCTCGCCCATGAAGTCATCAGTGGAAAATGTGTCCTTATCATAGACAAGCTGCAGAAATCATCATTTGGTATCTCTTACTAACTGTAGATGAGATCTAATATACTTGGAAGCTTAAGAACTTAAATGACTATAGACAAGAGGTTCCTTGATGAAGAAGATGCTTTTGGCAAGAAACGGTGATAGATTTGGAATAAGAAACTCTAACTTTCTACGACATAGTACTCAAAATTTGATTTAGTTTTTGAAATCATGATTTCATTATCGAACAAGTTATGTTGTTGCTCACCACTTTTAGCGGAGGTATATGTTCGGGAATCGACAACATTAGGCTCTCATTCCAAACTGGGTTAAGGTTGCTCTTTATGACGCGAGTCCTCACCGACTGCAACAAATAGCAGTAGGAATCAGTACTAGATAACAGTGTAGCTAATACAAATCATAAACCTGAATGTGAATCGAAGTAATATAAAAGAGAGGCTCACTTGGTGACCCAATACGAGAATTACATAGGGATCACTGGACACCACGTCTCTAATAGCTAGGTTCGTGCCTCTAACCACATTGACCTTAACCAACCCGACGAACTCGACCATACCTGCCTACAAACATTACATCTGAAGTAATAAGATCCAACATCCATATCAAACAAAAATTTTAAGCCACAACACTTGCTTTGCTTTTTATTTCCCTCACTCATCTCCAACATAATTTGACTGCTAGCTCAAAGTTCCAGCTTTACATTTTCAACTGTTCATTGATGAAGAATATGCATTTATAAGAGATAAAACTCATTCTTGGTTAATCAGAGCATTTTGAATTCATTAGAACCGTTTAGTGTGCTTATTCAGTCCCCCCTTCATCTTGAATGTGTAGTCTAATAACTTAGAAAAGCACATTTTTATGGCTCAACATATCAAATGATCCCTACTAGTTTGAGTGTTGGGGTGGCTCAAGTATTGAAGACTAGTATGTCAAGTAGCATATGAGTAGCATATCTAAGGGCTCGAATAAACAATAACTTATCATGCATCAATTTTTGGAACAAAATTATAACAATCTTTTTGAGGAGGGTCGCTAAGGGTCAACTTGAGAATATTAAAGAATGAAAAACAGAATTCCTCAGATTAGGGACCTCATGAAATAAATGATATATAACCACATGGATCTGCTTAAATGCCGCAGAATTAACACTCTTAAAACCTCAAGTTTTATAGATTTTATTTGATCAATGTGGAAATTGTTAGCTTCCAATATCTTAAATTAGGAGAGGAATGGTTGCAACCAAAAATTTGAAAATAAAAAGGAATTTGTGATCTCTACAGCAATCCACAACTTAAAATGCTGAAAGAAATCATTAATAAGAAGAATGCATAATCAAAGAAACTTACTGACGCTAGTCTTGAGACTGAAGGATTGCTCTTGTCGAAACTCTTGTGGTCACTATCTCTTCTAACTCGGCTGTTACGAAACGCATTCGCAATGCGATGCCTAGTAGCTAGTTTCTCATAGTGCCTTTTGTCCTGGGAACCATTCTTGCTTGAAGAGTTAATTTGAGAGCATGGTGAAATCCTTTTATTAACTGAGCCATCACTAGAATTATGACCATTGCCGTTATAAAATTGTAGCAGTTCATACTTTCTCCTGAATTTACAAGAAATGTGATTCTTTAATACAATAGAATGTACTCAATATTTCAGATTCCTCGATAAATGAATGAGCGTGTGCTAGCAATACCTTATAAACTCAAAGCGCTCCTCTATACAGGAATCTGGTTTTGGTTTTCTGGTCAAATCTATGATGCCGGCTTCATATTTCTTGTTTACATCTGCGTTTCCACCCATGCTTATAAAAGTATTGACTTGTTCATCCGTCCAATTATCTAGCTTCACTGAGAAAACCTGGAATTTGTTGTTGGTAAATTTAGATCATAAAATTCTTTGCATGAGATATGAGCCTTCAGTATTGAAATTAAAGTCCATATCAAAATAGTAAACAGGAATTACTTCAAAATTCAATTCAGGTGATCAATATAATAGGAAGGATCACATAAGTATATCCTACTGAGAATAACTTCTTTTTGGAGTTCAACAGCATTTGGAGCGGGGGATTTGAAGCTCTAACGTTTTGGTCGTGGATACTTTTGGGTATGCTCACTTTGGCTATCCTAACGAGAATAACTATCTTCAAACAATTAAAGATCAACTATTTATATTCCCTACTGAAACAGGTTGAGATGGAAACTGCTTTCCCCTGTTGCCTTATCAAGTCTCAGCAACTAAATCCCAAATCTGCCTTACAACCCAAAATATCGCATCCATAATTCTTCTTTCATTTTTTTTTTTTTTTAATGCATATAGATCAAGTATCACCACTCCCTACATTATGCTCGTAGACCGCCCTTACTAGTCCTAAGAGTGCCTTTGCCCATCCCAGCGCCAACTTCTAGAGATGGCAAAGGTTTTAAACTAAGGTTTCCACCTGGGGCTTAAACCAAGACTTTAGAGGGCATCTCCAACTATCCCAATCCCTTGCCATCAAGAGCATTCCTTAGGGTGCATCCGTGATCTTTTTGTCCACCAGAAAATTGTCCTCGATAGAAATTATGCTAATTTCCTTGAAGTCAGAACATGAAGCATCCTAAACATACATGCTCTAAATTTTAAGTACTCAGAATTTCCAACCATCACCATCAAGGTTCACTACCAAAACATCCTTTCCTCATACAACTACAGTGCCAAATTTCCTTTTACACTTGAAGGAGTACAATTTATCATCTATATCAAGTATCAATCAACTGTGGGAGCAGACGTGCAAATAGAAGCATCTGACTTTTGTTCATTTGGGTACACTGTTCAAGGTATTTTGAGGTTGATGACGAGCTTAGAAAGATCAAAGGTTATATTATTTAGATTGTGATTTTGGAGCGTCAGACTATGATAGTGTTCTTTGGCAATGTTGATACTGTGACCTGCTTTATGATATTGTCTAATGCCATAAATTTATTCTAATATGGAAAGCTTATCTAAAATGATCACGTCATCAAGCAGCATGGTCAAGACCTACATTGTGTGTTTGTTATTAGGAGATAATAAAGAAACAAGAAGAAAAGGAAAAAGAAGAAGAAAAACCTTAGAGATATGAACTCCAAGACTTCTGTGTACTCCAGAACACTTTATACAGATAAATACTCCCAAATTTAACGATCTGCATCCATAAATCAGAGATTATGAACAAAAAACTAAACTCATGTTGAGAAGAAGTTTCAGTAGATATCAAAGGTTACAGTTGCATTTTGAGTGATGTAGAAACCACCTAAAACATCAAGAGTGATAAAAGTAACTGATCCTTTTCTAATTTATACACATTAAAGAGACTTGTCGGGTGTGACATAAAGTGGCCTAAGGAGATTCAATGGTCAGCCCAAGTAGATTGAGGTCTCAATTCCCTAATAATAGTCCATTTGTTTCTTCCAGGAGAGATCAGAATAAAGATCTCAACAACAATCATACGGCAACTATTAACTTACTCCCTCCCTGTGCCCTAGAAAACAGAGTAAAAGAGGCACGGAACATATGAAAACGGTCGGTTGGCTGAAGTTTAATCCACCTATTCAACGTCTGAATAACTGACTCGAGGGAGGAACTTCCAAGAGGGAATTGTTTCCCCATGGTTCATATGGAAGGAAAAGAAAGGAAAGAAACAATGGCAAAACAGAAAAAACTGTTCTATTGATGTCAGAAGAAACTTGAGAGTAAGGAATGGGAACTTCTCTCTTGAACAATTCAATGGCACCTAGTTTTAAATTTTCATCACATTTCCCACACACCACACTACAATTTGGTCAGGACTTCAAGGAGAAAGAGAGTCAATTTGAAACTTGTATGAATGAATATCTAAATAAAAAGAAAATAAAACATTTAGACTTACACCCATTTCGGATCTGGTGAGCCACAATCTGCACATAACTTATTACCAGATTGGCGCAACAGATCTTCCAACCTTTTCTGGGGGCCTGATTGAAGGCAGCACAAGATAATATAGTTAACAAAGCTTCTTCAAATATATCGGGTGGTGATAGGGTACTAGAAACATAACTCATTACAAAAGAACGTAAAAAGTGCACATGACGATTATCAGTGGGAAATAAATACAACATTCAATAAAGTAGAAACATGGGTACGCAACAGAGATTGGGAGCATGGCAAACAACAAATTCTCAAACTTAATCTGACCAAAAATATAATAACAATTGAGAAAGAATTGTACAAGACCTTGAACTTAGGATTCTATTCGTTTATAATATAGGGGGTTTCCTGTTCCCCTCGTTCTACACTGAGCATTCTTTAGGTTTAAGATGGGATCAGTTCAGCTTTGTGTTAAGGAAGGGAAAACTTGAACCAAATTAAGAAGGTTGCTATCATTTTGATATTCACGAGAAACAACTAAAAGGATGTCATCAAGAAATTGCAAGTGGTCAAATCATCCAATCAGACTCCAGTGTAAGAATCATACTAAAGCAATTACTTAGCAGAAGATGACAAAAAAAGAGATCACCTGGTCTTAGGAGGGGAAATCTTGTCCTGCAAGCTCAAGTAGGTTAAATGTTTCAAGATCAAACTCTAAGAATCATTTGAGATTTCAGCTTCTAGAGTGCTAAAAGTTAAATCTTGTCAAATATAGGTTTGGGTGAATTTTGTTTCTATTTCTTGAATCTTATTTCCTTATTTCCTTGATTCTTTTCGTTTATTATTTCTTATTTATAGTTTGTTGGGTCTTGAAGTTGAGGTTATTGATTCTTAGTTTCTCATTTATTTCAATTCACTTGTTTCTTTGAGAATCGATACTTCACGTTGATCTTGATTTTGCATTCAAGACTTGCTTCTTAAAGTACTTGATATTGCAAACTCTTGAATATTTGTTTCCTATTTGGAGAGATTTTAAATATTTTTCAGGGAGTGCTACATCTTTTGAGTGAAACACGTGAGGGAGTGATTGTAAGGTCCAATTTTCTATATGCTAACATCTTTTTGCAGCCATGTATACTCAAAATAGAGCTTCAAGGAATTGCCACAAGTTTGATCAAAACTTGCTTCCATTGTTCGTTGGGAAGATTTAAAATCCTGAGTACCTTCTTTGGAAGGAGGAAATGGATGCCATATTTGATCATCACAACTACACTGAAAAGGGAAAGGTAAAAGTTTGTCGTCTGCATTTGAGAAATATGCACTGACACTGTGAAATGTTTAGTTGTCAAAGACAGTGGAAATCATGCAATACCCTCATGGAAAGAGTTCAAGCTTCTAATGAGGAAGCGTTTAGTTACTAAATCTTTCCACAAATTGAACTTTGAGACAGGGAGCAAAAATGTGGAAAAATACTATGAAAAGATGCTCTCATTGCTTGAGGAGATTAACTTATATGTGGATGAGGAAGCTACCATGAACCGTTCTACCAAGGACTTAATGAGGAGATTGCAGAGATGATTGCCAATCAAGAAGAAATTCAACCTTGTGAGGATTTGATCTTAAGGCTATCCATTGGAAGCATTGAACAGTGGAATATCTAACAGCTAAACTGAGCATTCTGATGTTACCCAAACTACAGTAAAAGACCTTTCATTGATGTTCAAAATGATTCCTAGTTCACTAATGAATTAATCTCTCATGATATAAATTAATTTTTAGACTGGAAGACATATTACTGGCCAAAGAATCAGCAGGATGACTAGATTTTACATTTTCCACAATTAAACTAATTATGTGATTTAGCTCCATCTACTTTCAATGCAATTCCATAGTAAATGCTATTACATTTAAAAATATATTGAGATTTGAAGATATAATACCAGAGAGCTGTTGATCCTTTTTCCAGTTCCACCTTTGCGTTTCTGAATCTGAATACAAGAGATCATAGAGAATTGAAGAACTGAAAAAGAGTGAAAGACCTGACAGCTAAACTATGTATTCTGAAGTTATGCAATCTACGGTAAAAGATCACTTATTAAAAAGTTAAAAATGATTCCTAACTGAGTAATTAATTAATCTCCTGAAATTGGAATGCACAACATACAATACTTGTATCAACTCAGCAGGTTGACTAGGTATTACATTTCCTACAATTTACACTTCCTCCAGGATTTGGCTTCTTCTTCTTGCAAAAATATTCCTTAATGAGTGCAAGTGCAGTTATAGAGATACAGAGAATTGAGATATAATACCAGAGGGCATTCGACTCCAGTCCCAGCCTCGCATTTCTGAATCTGGAAATAGAAGATCGAAGAGACAAACGCCTAGCACATTTCAATCATGTCAAGGAAATTTCAATAATAACATGAGCTGAGCTCTTTATACATCGGTAACAATAGATACATTCTTACAATTCTTAAGCAATATGAGTAATGTCCTAAAAGAATAGATAGCAGTGAACAGGTCCCAATGGTCCATTTGAACAAATGAAAAATAAGTGCCTACCCACCATGCTACAATACAAGTTCCAATGTATTGAAGAGGATACTCATTTAGTAGTAAATGTCAATCCTACATGTTTGTGATGATTATGTCTACACTCTTATTTCCAACCTCCACAACAAAAACAGAAAAATCACACAAGATTGAACGTATAAAGTTTCAGCAGTTTTCAAGTACACCAATTAGTTCTATTATAATTACTCAATAGGTAATAGTAACTAAGGCTTTTCTTTGATGGTTCGAGCACACTTTGCATCCAAAGATTTAGTCAACCAGCTCAAATTTTCTGAAATTTTGGTCTTTCCATGTCCACAGACAATCTTCATTTTCAATATCACGTTTATCTTTGTGAAATTCCACATCGGTTGGAGAGGGAAACAAAGCATTCCTTATAAGGATGTGGAAACCTCTCCCTAGCAAACGCGTTTTAAAACCTTGAGAGGAAGCCCAGAAGGGAAAACTTAAAGAGAACAATGTATGCTAGCGGTGGGCTTGAGTTGTTACAATTTTACTTCCTAAAGAGAGACCCTTCCATAAAATTATCAAATGGGACACCGCATTCAAATCACAATAGTTTTTCGGAGTCCATAAGAGACTTATTACACCCAAAAAAGTTCAACCTTAAGGGAAGATAAATCATTATGACACATCAATATAATATAATGTATCAATCATCTCAATAAAAATCAAAAAGCTTTTCAAAGTTACCTATGACTTAATTACATTACAAGAATGTTTTATGGTACAACAAATGTGAAGGGAGGAATTCGAACCTCCAATCTCATAGGAAGGAATAGACAGGCAAATGCTCCGGTGGGCTATAAAATATGTTTACTATATACACTCACCATTATACTTACTCTCATAAAAGGAAATATTTGGACAAAAAAATATCATCAATGAACTGATTTTGTAATATCCCAAATGAAGGTTTGAGAAGTATCAACTGGAAATATGAACTTTTTAGCTCATAGGAGAGATTGCAAGGGTTGAAAGAACACCATACATTTCAAATAATTAAGAAGCGGTTCAATCTTAAGTTCATCCACACAAGATCTGTCTCTCCACCCAATCTCCATTTTTTTTTTTACTCTAGCCCATACTCGCCATTTTATTTGAGAACCAGTTCTATCTCTAGTTATCCAAATACTTGCCCACCTAGCATATAACTTCTAAGGGGTATCTAGAAAATCTAGAACATTCCATTGAGCATAAACTTGGAAACCTATCAACACACTTCAAATACCAGCTGGATATTTTTTCATCTCGACTATGAAGCACATGATGTCGGGGACGGAATATGTCAATATGATCTAGATTATTCAAAATGTATCTAAAGCTTCCTAAAACCTATAGTTTGTAGGAGAAAGTAAACTTTTATTGAGATTAAAATGAAAGAATACCAGACAAAAGAGAGTGGACATACAAAAAGACAGCCCAACAAAAGTAGCCTCGAAGTTAACATACAAAGAAGGGATCAATTCAATATAATAAGTCCCAGAGGATAGATACAAAAATCCTTAGAGAATGGTGCCCAAATTGAGGCATCTTCCCTTTCCAAACAAGAGAATTCCAGTTAATCAGTAGTTAACCTAATCATCACTTTACTGGCTACTGTAAGGCCCCTCAACTTCCTATTGGATGATTAACTATTCAACTGAGAACTGATATTCAAATCTTTATCTGTACACTAAGCCACAAAGTTTTCTTCCAGTATTGGGTATCAGTAGTATAATCCACCAAACTGAAGTCAAGTGAGTTTCATATTCTAATATCTCAAGAATCCCAACCCTTAAATTCACAAAATTAATCAACGCAAAGATATCTTGGGCTATGAACACGAATAATCATTTGCAGAGATGAAAAAAATACCTGAATCGGAGTTCTTCGGCTGGGTTGACATCTCCAGCCTCAAATAACGAGCACACAAATCATGAAAGAATGGGGGAATCTGAAGGCAGCAGTTCTCTTAGTTAATCCACTAGGTCATAATCTAAAACTTGAGCGAAAGAGCATAATAAACACAGTGGAAAGGAAATCAAAGGAGTTCTTACAGGTTTGTACAATGACGAATGAAATGATTAAGCGTAGATTAACATAACTCTACCCTGCCTTTTCTCTGCATGAAACAAAATCAAAATGTACTAACAAAAACGAGAATCCAACACTCCAATGCCAAAATTAAACCGAATACGCATAACAAACAAGCTGAAAAACACCAAATAATGGTTACCGTTCAAGGAACAAAAGAAGGGAGGCGCGATGCTAGAGATAGTTCAACGCATTTAACGGAAAATCTGCAGCTAACGAAGCATACAAAACGCTCGTAACGAAAAATGTCGAAGAATTAACGAAAACCGCAAAACCTTACCATCTTCGGTGAAATTTGGTGGAACAAATGCAGAGAAAAAACTGAAATCAGAGAGAAATTGATAATATCAGAATGTGTATCTCATTGCTCAAAAATTGTTGGTCGGTTAGCAACAAACTTCAATTGATTTTGAGAAAAAAGAAGAAATGGGCCCGATGATCTTCGATTGAAAAGAAAAAAAAAAAATCATTCATGTTCGTTCAAGTCAACGTAGTTCATGGATATGATGTAAGTGTCCAGAAGAGACGATGATTAATTAAAAATAATTAGTTCAAAATCCAGTAATTAACAGATAATTAGTTGAAAATTAAATCAGTTAATTAACAGATTTTCTTAAAATTATAATAATGAAGAAGAACAGGTCAAGAGGGCGGTAGGGACATCTAATGCACGTTGTTTACTTTTTTTTTTTTTTTTTTTTAACGACACAATTTTTTAAAAATTTTATAATTAAATTTATATTTTTCCTCAATTTAAACATTCCAACCTGCTCCTATTTCAACCGTCTAAGTTCACTGCTAGCAAATACGGTTATATTTGAGCTTTCTCTTCTGGGTTTTTCCTCAAAATTTTCACACTTCTAAAGAATGTTTTGTTCTCCTCTCCAACCAACGTGGGATCTCACCATTTACGCGTCCTCGCTAGCACACTGATATCTGGCTCTGATACCATTTGTAACCGTCTAACCTCACCGCTAACAGATATTGTCTTTTTTTAGCTTTAATTTTCGAACTTCACAGTTTAAAACCTTAACTTCAAAAACATGAAATCCTGAGTACCAAGTTTCAAAAATAACTATGGATTCTCATAAAATAACATTAATTTATGAAATATACACCAACAAATTTCATCTATATATTAATTTTTTTTTTAATAAAGGTCCCTTTTTCAAATTTTATTAAAAATAATAATTAAACCAATTGATAATTATATTTTTAATTTTTTAAAAATCTAAAGCTATTATTAAACAAAATAATTTAACGGTTAGTAAAAAAAATGATATTTTTTAAAATATTTTGTCACAATCTCTCACCAAATATGAATAAATATGAAATTATTATTAGTCAGAAATCAAAATATTAAAATAATGAAATGTTGTACTGTGTTTTACAGACTTCTATTTAAATTAAAATAATTCTTATATAAAGACTCAACAGAAATACAGATTCAACTTACCCATTCAAACTAGCAATAAGTTATACTAAATTCTGAACATTTCGAATATTTTTATTAATTAAAAAAATTATTGACTAGAGCATATTAATATTAATATTCTAAAAGCTAGCCAAATGTCCTACCTACCACTAATTCAAACGCTTTTTCCATTTCGAACAAATTCAAAAGCTACACATACTTTTTTCGTGGAAGCCACCAACATATGTCTGGTGACAACTTTTTATGGGTCATAGTGCCAACGCTCGTAATCTCATGGTAACGGATAGCAATTGTGTGACATTTATTGTAACTCAACGAACAAATTAGTCATGAGAAATTTAGACGTCGTGAACAACGTCAACGTATACTCGAGTCTCGAGTTATGTTTGCTAGAAATGTTTAGAAAACGTGAGCGATGAAATACATCTGAAAGATTGAAATTATCGTTATATAATTATAAGCAAAAGGCAACATGATTGCTTAAATGACGTATAATTTATGGGATAGGGAATGTAATATAGATGAAAATAGTATTTATTAAAGAATAATATTCTTTGTTTTTTTAGCTTTAATTATATAAGTTTTGTTTGATTTAGAGATGGTGAGTTTCACGGGATTTGTCTCAAATGGAAGAGGGAATGAGAAAAGATTTATTTTCATTACTTGAATGAAGCACGGGATGAGGAATTATCCTTCATCCACGTCTCCAACCCCGATCACTAAATTAATAAAAATACTCTTAAATTTTGCACTTTATCCTGTAATAAACCATAAACTTTCAAAATTTTCAATAATACTCATTCAATTTAAAAAAAAATATATATTAATTTTAGATATAAATAATTAACACTTTTATCTTCAAATTTACGTACATTTTAAATTTTCAAACGTTTAAAAAAAATTTAAAAATCACCTTTAATTTTTTTTAAAAACTAAAAAAAAAAATATATTTTTAAGCATTAAAAAGAATATTCATAAATTCATGAAAGTAATTTTAAAAAATTTAGAAATGATTTATTAGCTGTTTCAAAAATATTATTTAAATGTTGACTTTTATTAATACTTTAAAAGGTTTTAAAATTTTTCAAAAACAACTATGAACTAACCAATGCTACGAGAGCTTATGCTTAAAGTGAACAGTACCATATCATTGCAGAGAGTCGTATTCATCTAACAGGATATCAGAGTCATGTCCTAAACTTAGTTGTGTCAATAGATCGGTAAATCCTCAAATGTTGAACAAAGGATTCCAAAAGAAAAGGAGTCAAGTTTTCTCGAAGGCATAGTCAAAAAATGACTAAGACTCCAAAAGAAAAAGAAGTCGAGCATCGATTAAGGGGAGGCGTACTTTGTTCGAGGGGAGGTGTTGGATTATGAAAGTCCCACGTCGAATAATTTAGGGAATGATCATGAGTTTATAATAAGAAAATACTCTCTCCATTGCTACGAGACATTTTGGGGAAGTCTAAAGTAAAGCCATTAGCACTTATGCTCAAAGTGGACAATATCATACCATTGTGGAGAATGATGTTCGGTCGTACTTAGAAGTACCATCTTTTACCTCAAAAAAAACATTTTTTCACCTACTTCCATAAATTTTTTTTATGGTTAAAATTTGCGAGTTTTGGTTAAATTATTTAATGGATGATTTAAGCAAATATTAAAATAATTTTTTTGATAAAACTCCATTTAATTAAAATTTAATTAAGAATATTTTTAGATTATGTTTTTTTTTATTTAAATTAATGGGCGACAAAGATTGAATGGAGAGAAAATTTAATATACCATAAAACTTTAATTGTTTTTTAACTATAATTTTAACCTTAAAAAGAATAAAAGGAAAAGAAATAAAAATAAATAAATAAATAAATAACAGAAAAGGACATATTTGTATTTCTAGGTTCTTCACCATTTCTTACAGTCTCAAGTGGAAAGCTTAAGCCGCCCTTCCGCCTATACTCTGTCGTCCGCCATTCACGAACTCTGTACTCCGGCCGAAGCTTCGCCCTTCCGCCATTGAAGTACGGTCTCAAGAAGCTCTGTCTAATGTCATCAGAAACTGTTTCGCCGGCCATGGAGTCTTTGGTTCTGCAACTCCATGAAATCTCTGCTGTTAAGTTCGGCAACTTCAAGCTCAAGTCCGGTATATACTCTCCTATTTACATTGATCTTCGTGTTATTGTCTCATATCCTTCACTTCTCAGCCAAATCTCCAAAACCCTAATCTCTTCTCTTCCGCCGTCTACCTCCTACGACCTCGTTTGTGGTGTTCCTTACACTGCCCTTCCTATTGCGACTTGCATCTCCGTTAGTGACAATGTTCCGATGGTTATGCGTCGGAAGGAGATTAAGGATTACGGGACGGCGAAAGCTATTGAGGGCCATTATGAAGCGGATCAAATATGTTTGATTATTGAGGATTTGGTGACGAGCGGTGCGTCGGTTTTGGAAACTGCTGCGCCGCTGCGGGCGGCGGGGTTGAAGGTGAGTGATGCGGTTGTGTTGCTTGATAGAGAACAGGGCGGGCGGGAGAATTTGGAGGAGAATGGGATTAAATTGCATTCGATGATTAAGTTGAGTGAGATGGTGAGGATTTTGAAGGAGAAGGGGAAGGTTGGAGAAGAAATGGAAGGGGTGGTCGCAAGATTCTTGGAGGAGAATCGGAAGGTTGCGGTGCCGAAAGTGGAGAAGCCTGTTAGAGTTAAGGCCATTTCCTTTCCGGAAAGAGCGAAGTTGGCGAAGAATCCGATGGGGAAGAGGCTGTTCGAGGTGATGGTCGAGAAGGAAAGCAACTTGTGCGTAGCGGCTGATGTTGGCACCGCCTCGGAGCTGCTTGATATCGCCGAGAAAGTAAGAACATCTAGAATTTCTGAATTTTCTTGGGATTTTCATCAACACTCAGATTAAGAAAAGTAGACGAAATCATTAAGAACAAATGAAAATGAATTGGGTTTTAAAGTAAAAACCAGAGAGTTCTTCGTTTCCTGTTCTTGTAATCCCTTTGGATTCTGTTGCTCTGGCTAACGAAGCTCTTGGTAGAATTTTATGCCTGGGAAGAATTTATAGCTTTTAGAACCGTCCCACCAAAAATCATAGTTGATAATTTCGAACTATCCTTGTTTGTTTATCCTTTGCTTTGTGTCAATCAGGTTGGACCAGAGATCTGCTTACTGAAAACTCATGTGGATATACTGCCAGATTTCACTCCCGACTTCGGTTCCAAACTTCGCTCGGTATATTTCTTCCACGAACTTTGCACTTATTATAGATTTTAGCAATACCTTGGGACATAGGTTAGTTGTTAATGCTTGTTCATGTACGGTAGTATTGATGGTGAGATGCCAAGGATGTTGATAACAAGAATATCATTAACCTTATGAACTTGTTAATTTGGTACCCTGTTTTGACATTACCAGCAGTTCATTACTTCCATATTTTCAATACCATCTTTAGGATATCAGCTGGGTTATAAAAATGCCTCACGGTTACTTTCTTCATATGTTAGAGCCCTTTTTCGGGAAGGTGTAGTGTGAGATCTCACATTGGTTGGAGATGAGAACAAAGCATTCTTTATAAGGGTGCGGAAACCTCTCCCTAATAGACACGTTTTAAAAACCTTGAGGGAGAGCCCAAAGAGGACAATATCTGCTAGCGGTGGGCTTGGGCTATTACACGTGGGCTACGGTTAGGTTTAATGGCTCTTGTATTCTAAGAAAAATCTGCTCCATTTGGTAACAGTTTCATTTTTAACTGGTTCTTAAAATCTACTCTTTTTAGTTTTAAAACTTTTGGCTGAATGGTTTAAGCTGCTTCATATTTGCTTACATTAACTCACTGCAATGCAGATTGCTGAGAAACACAACTTCTTAATCTTTGAAGATCGCAAGTTTGCAGACATTGGAAATACAGTAACAATGCAGTATGAAGGGTAGGCCTCTCAGTTTTCCAAAATAGTTTAGCTGTTTCTTACATTCATTTACTTTTACTTCTCAGCAATATCTTAGGAGGTTGTCCCTGAAATCTCGTGTTTCGAATGCAGGGGTATTTTTCATATATTAGACTGGGCAGATATAATCAATGCTCACATTATCTCTGGTCCTGGAATTGTAGATGGATTGAAATTAAAGGTATACATACAGCAACACTCAAAGGATAGTTTAATCGGGGTTCATAATGGTGTGTTTGCGAGTATTTTCTAGAAGATACTAAAATGTTTCTTTTTTTGATGAAATACTTGTGCTTTCTCCGACCGTATTCATCGAACAAGTATTTTGAACAGCTGCTATTTGCTAAGTGTTCTAGACCAATGATTTCTTCAATAGCAATCTAGTCGTACTTCCATTTCTCAAATTTATTTATCATTCTGGATGGTGTAGGGGTTGCCTCGAGGTCGGGGTCTTTTACTGTTGGCTGAAATGAGCTCAGCTGGAAATCTTGCCACCGGAGATTACACGTCTGCAGCAGTTAAAATTGCAGAAGAACATTCTGACTTCGTAATCGGTTTCATATCGGTTAATCCAGCATCCTGGCCAGGTGCGCCTGGAAATCCAACATTCATTCATGCTACACCCGGAGTCCAAATGGTCAAGGGTGGTGACAATCTTGGACAGCAATACAATACCCCATACTCTGTAAGTTCCATCCAATATTTTCTTCTGCATCTTCTGTTCTTGACATGAACTGCTATCAACTACAGAATTGAACTTGGCTTCATCCTATATATATATATATATATATATATCTTTCTTTACTTCCACTAATTGGTCGTCGATATAGGGAAGTTGTAGAAAGGAAAATTAGAAATGGTTGAAATTCTGATAGTTCTTGTTTGCTCTTTGTTATTTATATGATTTAAGAGAGAGATTATCAAACACGTAATAGAACTTAGGAGAAGTGAATTCAAATTTCATAATGGTTACCCATCTAATATATTGACATCCTAGGTGGTAGTCACACGAGATTAATAGAAGAAAAGCCTGAAATGGCATATCATGAACTGAAATTTGGGAAATTATGTTGTGCAGGTTGTCTATGATAGAGGAAGTGATATCATAATAGTGGGGCGTGGGATAATAAAGGCACCTAATCCCGCCGATGCAGCTCGAGAGTATCGTCTACAAGGATGGGATGCGTATTTGGCTAAGACCACCTAGAACAATTATTCACTTAGCTTTAATAACTTCTCCGGTGCTCGATGAATGTCGGTTCTTTTTTCGACTTTTCCTTTTCGCTCGAGTTGCTTTCCCCTACATGCTTGCAGGATTTGGATTCTGGAGGGCTACTTAAGAGAAGCATTGCTGATTCAGCTTTGAAATAAATTTCAACCTACTTCATGTAAGCTTGTTAAGGAACAATGTGTGTTCTAGTGTAATCCTTTGGTTGATCATGAGAATGAAAGTAATTTGTCAGATTTCTCTGTCTTCAATTTCTATGTTCCAGTTTAGGTAACAATTTGACCTTTGTAATTTAAAATTTGTAATAATTTGATCTCGAAATATTGTTAAGATCCCGTGGAAGTAGGGCCCAAATATGAAGATCCGATTGTTTCTTGATAAAAGTTGATGTTTTATTTTGATAGTCCCATAGAGACTAAAGTAGTCACAACTTGTATTGATTACATCTTAAAGAAAACTAAGACGAGGAAGATGGATCAGAACATGAAAATGTAACAGTCAAAGCCCACCGCTAGTAGATATGGGATCTCACAATCCAATCTCCTTGGAGGCCAGCGTCCTCGCTTCGCTTGCACATGGCTTAATGTCTGGCTCATATATCATTTGCAACCGTTAAAACCTACTACTGGCAAATATAATCCGCTTTGGCTCGTTACATATCGCCCGTAAGAAAAATTTTCAAAATTTCAAACGCTTATAAGGAATGATGATACATAAGAAATGAACATCATATGGAGCAATGGCTAACTGAAATTGTTAACATCCAAGAAGGACAGGTGGAATAGGTTCAAGTTCTACAAGTTCTTTTCTAAACCATGGTTTGACGCAAGAGCAGCAAGGAGTGTTTGCTTCTTAATTTAAAAAGAAACTCATGATTTAGAAAGCCTCATTTACTCTACAAAAAGGCAACCGACTACTGGACAAGAAGATAGGATTTGAACTGAAAGTTTCATCATAAGCTGTTCTCCCAGTCTCCTGTTCTTTCCAAATTCTACCAGTCACCCTAAGCTTCAGTTCCTTACGGTCTCCACCAGAGAAGAAGAGCGCCATGTTACATTGGATAATGAGCCCGTCGAAACTATCCCGAACTTTTCGATGGCTGTCCCTGATGCTTCTGGGCACCCCTTGCCATACTATCTTCCTCCCATTTCCACCCACTTCGAGACTATAGCTGTAGTTCTTTGCATCATCGTCATCGCCCATGAACCGCAAGAATGCTATGTATGCTGGAGCCATTCCAAGCTGGAAAGCTTCGAAATGCAGGCAAAAGTAATGACCAAAGCAACTGAAAACCTGAGTTTTGACATTCCAAATCAGAGTCACCCACAATCAAGAAGAATTCAAAGCTAATATAAGATATGGGTTTGCAGAATGATAGCAAAATGAGGATTCTAGAGTTCTAAACTAACAAAATCTCTTCCACTCGAGGTAGTACTCCGAGATCGGTAAACAAATCGAAATCATTATAGTCTACAGGAATACATTATCTTATGTAGCAAAACCAAATTAAGCATTTCTTCTGCTCAGTTTCTGGAATATCCAAAATTGCACAGCCGTCCATCAAAGGACATCCCAATTCCATGAACAGAAGAACTCCAAAGAAGTGCATGGTTTCATGCCAAAATCAAATCACTAAAATTTAAGCATCTAACATGATTCTAATCTCAAAATGTGCATAAGAAATGCCAAGGAGATTCGCCGACCCAAGAGGGGAAGAAACAGTGTAAGCATTCCAAGAATGGAAACAATAAGTCTATGAGAAAAATTACCGTTAGCATCCATGTTGCGTTTTCGACTTCTTGAGGGTTTGATTTTACGTATCGATGGTTGAATGTGCTTCCACTGTGCATGTCTACTTTATGATCATCTTTGAGATGGGCCACCAAATAGGGTATATCACCAACGACCAAACATTCTGATCCAGCGTATGGACAACTATAAGGTCTATAAACACATTGGGATTCATGTTTGACCTTGCTGTAATAAGGATATATGCCAATGCAACCATAGCTCTGATATTTACATGGAAGTTCTAGTGATGCAGCCACCTTCTCCAATGCAAGGCATCGAATATTGCCAAGTTCGTGCCTGCACGTAGGGCACCGATTGTGCACCCTAGGCTTGCAATCCGAACACAGTGTGTGACCATTCGAACACTACAGTAACAAAAAACACCATTAAAGAAAATGCTGGCACCCACACTTAGCACACCCCCTTTAACTGTAATTCTTCCTTTTTTTTTTTTAGGTAAACACAAACCTCCCCAATTATGGTAACAACTCAAGCCCACCATTAGCAGCCTCAAGGTTTTTAAAACGTGCCTGTTACGGAGAGGTTTCCACACCCATATAAAGAATGCTTCATTTCCCCTCTCTAACCAATGTGGGATCTTCCAAATCCATCCCTTCGGGGCCCAGCATCCTCGCTGACACTCGTTCCCCTCTCCAATCGATGTGGGATCTCACAATACAGCAAGGACGCTGAGCCCCGAAGGGGGGTGGATTGTAAGATCTCACATTGGTTGGAGAAACAAAGCATTCTTTATATGGGTGTGGAAACCTCTCCCTATCAGAGCCGTTTAAAAACATTGAGGGGAAACCCAGAAGAGAAAGTCCAAAGAGGACAATTTCCGCTAGCGGTGGGCTTGGGCCGTTGCAATCATAGAATCTAACAACTACATCAACACCAAACCTCACCTGGGCATCATCATGCTAAAGTAACCACATAACACAAAGATGAACTAAATTTCATAACTAAACCTGATGTATTGGAGGGTACATTGCATTCAAACACACTGGGCATTCCAAAAGCTGGCGAACGCTGCCGGAAACAGCAACATTAGGTTTAAGTTCATTTTGAGTTGGACCATCCACAGCTTCCCTGATGTCCATCATATCTTGATTTTGTGGAGGATCAATAACCTCTGCTTTGCTCCGCACATCATCAAAACAAGGATTTCCAGATGCCATCCTTAAGAAGACAGTGTTATGCTGCCTGAATATATGCACAACAACAAGTGGTTTCAGAATCTATCTCCTCTTCAAAAAATCAAAAGATAATATGCAAAACAAACAGACTCTGGATCAAGAGTGTTTTATTAATGGAAACCACAAATTTGCATATCATGAAACGAGACAAGAGACGACGATAAGCACATGTATTCCCTTCCCCTGAAGAACCCTAAAATTCAAAGAAAACTCACCACGGATCAAAGATTTAAACAGCCGAGGAACATTAACACAAACTTCACATTCCATCAAATCTTTCCCCAAGTGAAAACGATCAAAATCAGAAAAGTGGATCAAAATTAACACGACGAGAAACGAAAGGAAAGAGATCCAATCATACCTAGAATCGCAACGAAAGAGTGATTAAAAAGCACGGAAACCCTTGAAATGAGTAAGGTTCTGGTGGGTGTGAAAATTGAAACTCAACTACCGCATCAGAGAAATACTCACACCGAAAAGTTCGTAGCTCAAAGACCAAATTTCAAAATGAAGCCGTTGTTCGACAGAGAACCAGAGGATTACAGAGAGAAATTTCTGGAGAAAGTACAAAAAGTAAAAGTATGATAAGACTGTGGACCTTGTCCCATCCATACTCTTCTTCCATATTTTGAAATTTCAAGAACAAGTTAGTAATAAGTGTCCGACTTTTTTCGCCAACACAACAAAATTCCAACTTGATTCTTTTGTTCCACTTTGTCTTACATGAAATAGACACATTTTTGTGTTATAAGTCATATACGGACGGCTCGAATAGGAGCCGAAGTGTGAACAGGCAGAAATATCTCCTCGTTTCTGACCCTGTTTGGCTCACATAGAGAAATAGCCCTGTTTAGCTCACATAGAGAAATATCTCCCTGTTTCCGACCCTCTTTAGCTCACATAGAAAAGTATCTCCCCGTCCCCGGCCCTATTCAGCTCACAAAGAGAAATATCTCCCTATTCCCGACTCTGTTTAGCTTACACAGAGAAATATCTCCCTGTTCCCAATCTTGTTTAGCTCACATAGAGAAATATCTCCCTGTTCCCGACCCTATTTAGCTCACACAGAGAAATATCTCCCTGTTCCCGGTCTTGTTTAGTTCACATAGAGAAATATCTCCCCGTTTTCTACCCTATTTAGCTCACACATAGAGAAATATCTCCCCGTTCTCGGCCATGTTTAGCTCACATAGAGAAATATCTCCTCGTTCTCGGTCCTGTTTAGCTCACAGCGAGAAATATCTCCCTGTTCCCGGCCTTGTTTAGCTCACAGCGAGAAATATCTCCCCATTTCTGATCTTATTTAGCTCACATAGAGAAATATCTCCCTGTTCTCGGCCCTGTTTAGCTCACAAAGAGAAATATCTCCATGTTCCCGACCCTGTTTAGCTCACAGAGAGAAATATCTCCCTATTCCTGACCCTGTTTAGAAAAACGTTAAAATTACATTAACATGTTTAAAAGCTTAGTTAATATAGTTTATTGATTAACATTTGAGTAAGCAAATCGTGACAATTGCATTATATATTCTGTCTCATATATGTCAAATATTTTTCGATTGTGGTAACGATTAGAAGATTATTGGATGATCTTCCTTGATTAACCTATCACCCGTGATGGAGTCCACTTCCATACTTCCCTATCGAGTAGGAAGTATATGCATTTTACAGTCCCATACGTATATTATATGGGTGCGATAAAGATAGTCTCCACATAGAATTCACAAACACGAGGGTCACTTCTTTTAGGTCACTTTCTCATTATAGGACTATTAGGGCCAAACCGATTACCTTCATAATCAATCTATCTCAGAGGACCGACTCCATGATGTATAATAACATACTAGAGTTGAAAATGAGACGACAAACACTAAAACTTGAATGCAGCCGTCCGAGTTGCCTTGAATTTGACAACATCTTGACCTTGATAACGAGTTTCAAGGGGTTAGCAGATTAGTAGGAGTCCCGTTAGGGCCAGGTGTTGAACAACAAAAAGTTTATCAGCCGACCACTTGAAATAGGTTTAAGAACACGTAGGGATCCATGTCTCGACAAGCTCGAAAAGTAGAGCGTTTAGAATCAACTGATGAGAATATGATTACGTGAGTCTATCCTTAAATAAATAAATAAAAAGCTAATTTGAAAATGAAATATGTAACCCTTAAAATAATGTTAAATTGAGAAGTATCCAAACTAAAAAGGTAATTGAAGAAATGGACCATTTTTGGGGGCAAATAATAATAATAATAAAATTAAGGGGTTAAATCATAAATATTAAGAAAAATGGGGTCGAATCTAGTGCCCCGAAAATCCATTGCAGTCCAGTTTGCAGTTTCAGCCCAAAATAGGAGAAGAAGAGAAAGCTGAAGAACTTCGCAGCTTCGACTTCCAGTTCCACAACGAAGCCCGAATTCCATTACTGCAGCTTTCACCAGAGCTTCCTTTCAATCTCTTTCTCTCTATAATCGGCGAAAATCCTCTTCTTTTTCGTTTTCGTTCTTCCATATTCGCTGTAAGTATTACGCGTTACCAATTTTTTTCTTCGTTATGTATGTTCTCTATCTTCAGCCTTTTTGTTTTTCTCTGTTTAGGATTATGCCAGACGTGCAAGCTCTTGTGAATGATTTCGTTATCAAGCTTAAGAAGCGGTTAGTTCTTTGGGATTGTTGATATTTCTAGGAATTGAGTTGTGGTATTATGTTTGTTTGTTTGGATTGGAGGTTCATTTTGTGATGATGTTATGACAGTAAAATTGAGGGCTCTTTGGCCACCGCGAAGCATACAGCTGAATTGCTTCGTTCTGTCATTTCCCAGCAGCGAATACCCTACACGAATCAGGCGGCTGCTTTGATTGATGCTGTGAAAGCTGTTGGAGAGCAGCTGATTGCTGCGAATCCTGTTGGTAGAGATATTGAATTATTGATCTTGTTTGGTTTGATTTAATGTTTAACGTCGGTTTGGCTGGTTGGAATTTTACCCTTTACAAAATTCAATTTATTTCCATGGCTGGTGGTTCTTTATTCTGGCTGAAAATAAATTGTTAATCACCTCTCAATTATTATTATTTGGCTTGTCCATGTTTACCTTTTCTTTGTATGCCCTGCAACTTTAGTTTTCTGGAATCTACTGATTTACTAGCTTTTCATTGGCAATATGTCAATGTACAACTGCAGAGCTTGCTGTGGGTAATATTGTGAGGCGTGTTCTGCACATTATTAGGGAGGAGGATCTCTCTCTCACCACAGCTTCAATTGCTGGGTTGAATTTAGCAGCAGTTAGTGATGATGAAGATGACAATGAAAAAGATGATCGTCCAGTCCTCTCAGCCGCTGCTGTTGCAGCTGCTGCAAGAAGCACTTTGCGGCCGCCTTCCTTGCAAACTCTTCTTGAGGATGTTCCTAACCAAGCATCTGTTCATCAAACTTCTTCATCTGGTGGTGATTCAGAAGGAAAGAGCAAATGTGAGCTTCCTTTATTTATGATGATTAGCTTTCATTTGCGTGCTTATTTAGCGATGTTTGTGATGTGCTTGAAGGAATTTAATTGTGACATCTAAAATATTTTCTGATTTATCTGATTAAAATTGATCACTGGGTAATCTATATATATTACTATGTTGCAATATTATCTCTTGTTTTATATATATAGATAAATTTTATTTGTTGATTGTTAGCTCGGACATGTAATTGTAATGGCATATATGGTTTTCTATTTCTTTTCTTTCAAGGTTTTGAAGTTGTTGGGAAATGTTTGTTTGGTTTTGGATTTCTTTGACTGACCATGGTTATTAGACAAAGTCTTAAAAAATGTGTAATTTGCTTCTTCAACTGCGCATTGATATTGTATATTTTGAGTGTTAAAAAAAATCATTGTTGTGAGTTGAAATTTATAATTATATTTTTATAATAATATCATTTGAATGTTTTGCCTCTTACCTCATGGAATAACCTGGGATTTGAGGCCCTTTTTGGTTGTGATGTCTTTATGTGAATATTTGGAGTTCCGGCTGCATAGATGTAAAGGAAGACTGTGATTGATGGGGATAAATTTATTTTTTAAGATAATTACTTGGATAGTGAGATTAAGAAACAGGTTCCATTTTTAGCCTCTTCAGGGAACTGATGACAAGGCATAAGGGAATCATTAGCACCCATGGTTTCACCGGAAATGATTCTCCCTCATCATTTTTTATTGCCCTCTCTCTCTTAATTGTTGTTGGAAGTAGGGTCCTTGATAATGTTAAATGCTTTCTGCTTCTCTTGAACAAAAATCAGCTTATAAATGTGCATGTGTGCGTTTCAACTTTTTCTTATTTATATTTTATTTGTGTGCTCGTTAGTTGAATGAGTAGTGACTTTCTTTTCATTTTATTATTAATTGTTCTTTTCCTATTTGGAACGTAAGTTTTGTTTTTCTAACAAGTTCTTATTGACAGCTGCGGATAAAAGTTCAAGGAGTCGGAAACTCAAGCATGATGTAATTGAAGCTGTTAATGAACTTATTCAGGATATTGCAACTTGTCATGAACAGATTGCTGAGCAAGCAGTGGAACACATTCATCAAAAGTATTTCTCACATTGAGCTAATCCTAATAAGCTAACCCTTTTTATTGTTTCCTTGAGATCATATTGATCTGGGATATCCTGTTTATGGCTTACTGAAACAGTATATGGTTATTGACTTTGGGAAGTAGACTTAGTGTATATTATTTTATTGTACTTAAGAGGTCCTTAACCATATGGTGTTATTTGTTTTCTTCATGTGCTCTATTTCTCATTGGAGGTAAACTACTTGTGGCTTGATGGTGGGAGAAGCAACCTATCAGAAAAAATTCTTTTATCTTCCATCTCTAAGGATAAGTTCCTCAATCTTTCAAGATTAATATAGAATTATTGGGTCTAGATGTGAACATGAACAAATACAGTTATATTGTATTAATTGTGAAACTATTTGAGTTCAAGAGCTGGCTTCTATTGTAGGTGCAGTTTTGACTCATGGTCTGTGCCTGAATTTAGTCTCCCTCTAAATGGTAACCCAATTTATATCCAGTTTTGGATCACTGAAATAGTTCAAAACAAGTTGTTAATCAGGAAAAGGTATACTCTCTCTTAAAGTGGTGGGGTAACCCTAATCCAAGCTTCCAAGTCAAATCTTTCTACCTATCCCCACCTTTTTGTGCCCAAACTGGCCCTCGTCATTGTAAAATCTATGAGATATTTAACTGGGCAGACCACAACAAGGAAGGAGGTTCCCATCTTGGTTAGCTGGTACAAGTTCAAGTAACCCATATTTTTGAGTGGCCTTTATCTTGGAAACCTTTAAACTTGACTAACATCAGGTGATTTTCTAAGCTCTATGGAGGAAACTGGTGGCTGCTAAATGTAGAGCCTCCAAAAGTGATTGGTTGACTAATCAAATGGCTATCAAATTCTCCCAAGTCTCTTGGAAAGGAGTCGAAAGGTGGCATACAGGTGCACCGGCCATTTAGGTTAGAAACACACTTGGTATTCCAGGCTTCCCAACTCAAGGCTTGGAATCATGCTGCCAAAGCACTTACCAGCTGATCTGAATCCTAAGCTTGAACTCTCACTCACATGGCTTGGAGGTTTTGATTTAGTGGGCTGGACAGCAACTT